CCATTGCTGCTGGTGCCGGCAGGTCCCCCAGCCCGATCTGCTCACGTCCCTCCTGCGTACGGCGCTGCACAGGTGCCCGAGCATTTCCGTGCCTCCTCCGTGCCCATGGAGGTGAGTCTGCAGGAGCAGGGAAGGGGCCTGGTGCCCAGGAGGCTTTTGTCCCCCGCTCTGGCTCCCAGCAATGTCCTGATCGTGCTGCTGTGGAGGCGTCTGGCCCTGCGGAGGAATCAAAATGGGAAATAGGCTTTCCCCTGCCTGAAATTCTCCCCTGCCTCCCTGCAGCTGCGGGGTGACCTTCCTGTTTTTCTACGTGGGCTTTGCACAGTACCCCGGCTTGTAAAGCATTACCCAGTTAAACTGGAATGGCAAAAGGGAAATGCCAGCCCCTCCTGGCTCCTGGTCCTAAAAAGGTCCTCCTCAGCTCTCTCTGAGGCAAACTGCTCCGAACAGCCACCTGAGAGTTAGGGCCCGCTGCCCTGCCATGGCTCGCTTGCAGAGGGAACTGTCCCTGGCTTCTGGAGCCTCCTGCCAAAACCAGCCCCCACCTGTCCAAACCGATTTAAAACAGACCAAAAAACCTGCTTTTGCATATGCTTTCCTGTGCTTCTGCCTTTAACGCTCCTATTTCCTAGCTCCTGATCTGCAAAAGCTAGAAACTTTCTGTGCATGAAATGAAAGGGAAGGAACCGCCGTTTTGAAGCGTTTCCAGAAGCCATCCTGATACCGCCAGACACCATCAGGCCCACAGCAAAACCACGCAGCCCGATAACGCAAATCTCGCCGTGTACACACACACGCCGACGAGCAGAGCCCCTGCCCCTGGGGGCTCGCGCAGCTCCGCGCTGGCAGACAGCCCCCCCGAGCCCAACGGGACGAGCGTCGAGGCTGCGGGCAAGCGTCGGCACCCATGGCAGCAGCCTAAAACCTTCAAAAACGGTGTGGGAGGAAACTCTAGTCCTAAAAATATCAGTCTCTGGTGAGCGCCTGAGAGGGAGCTGTGCCTCCCAGTCGCCCGCTGCTTTGTGTTTCGCCTCTCGCCTTTTCGGGGGCTTTGCTGCTGCCCGGTGCCGAGCTCTGCCGCTGCGCCGGGCTGAGCTGCTGCCGTGCCTGCCCAGGGCTCGCCTGCTGACTCTGCCCTCCAAGAGCAATGGGAAAGGGCTACAAGGTGGTGGTTTGTGGAATGGCCTCGGTGGGAAAGACTGCGATTTTGGAGCAGCTTCTCTATGGAAAGCATACTGTTGGTGAGATATTTTTACCTTTTTTTTTTTTTGAGGGGGGATCGTTTCCTTTTCCAGAGTCTTGTTCTGTGTGGGCCCCCAAAAAGGACTGCGAAACTGCACTGAGGTGAAGGAAGGAAATAATGTGGTTTTGTTGCATCTCTGGGCAGTTCTTGAAATTCATACTTCCTTGCTTACAGATTTTTAAAAGACGCTTGGAAAAGAACCCTTTCCATGATGTTCCCAGTTATAAAATACATGAATGTTTAAAAAGGAACAAACACAGAAAGTAGGCAATGTGCTTGCTGCCTGTTTACATAATATCTGGTTCCCTGAAGGATGCTGTAGATGCCTGAAAAATAAATAGATATCACATGATGAGCGGAGAGACTTAGACTTTTGTTCTGTCTTCTTAAAGCTTTATTTTGCTTGGTTTTGGCTAATATTTAATCAAAGCACTGAAAAGGAAAACAGCTCTGCTTTAGGTCCCACATTCTGTGCTGAACTTCAAGGGCCAAACTGCTCAGCTCTCAAAGAAATCGTCCTGTGGAAAACGAACTTGAGAGAGGAGCATGGGATGTCCGAGACTTGCTGTGCACAAAAGAAAGGGAATGAAGGAAAAGCTGGCTTGTTTCCCTCTGTTTCCACTTGACTTGGCTTTGAGAGGAAGGGCAACCATCAGCAGGTTGATGAATTATTCCTGCCTCACTCAGAAACAAGGGGTGGCACCAGGGGTGAATCTCAGGGCTTTGACAGAAGATGCCTAGTCCATCTGTATCTTTTCATTGGGCTGGCGAATTATATGTTGGGGTAAGTTACTGGATAGACACTAGGATTTCTAGAACGGTGCTTTGCGGGCACTGTGCCTTTAAAATGCGTGGATGGGAGGAATTTGCTGGCAAAGCGTGATACAGAACTGCGTGCTAATACCCTTATTTAAAAGGAGGATTTCCTCTAATGTTGCAGCAACATCTGTTTCCAGCATCCTACTGAGCCCAATGCACGTAGCCCCGTGTAGCTTTCAGTGTGAAGGTTGCAAAACCTGCAGGCTGAAGGTTTTTCCCTTTGCTATGGACCTGCCTCACCTCTTTGCGGGTGATTGTCAGGGACACCTGAGCAGCGTGAGCAAGGCCACGCTGCTGAAATCGTATTGCCTGGCATTGCTTCCTGCCCCGAGCTCCTGTTAGCAACCTGGGCAGGGCGGATATTCGGGTGTCGCTGATCAGAGGAGCTATTTATGGAGCCAGTCATGTACACAATTGTACAACGTCATGGTTACTCGCTGACATAAGCAGAGGGAGGCCTCGTGCCCAGGGTTTGGCTGTGGGTGTCCCTCCGTCTCTCCCGAACGCTCTGCTCCATCTTGGCTGTTGCGCAACACAGACTCTCCCCTCCTCTCTCTAAAAGATTTGTTCTCCTTGCCTGCAGCTCTGCTCTTATTTTTTGGAGTTAACAGTAAGGGAGGGAGCAGCCAGCAGCAGAGGAGGGGTGCAAGGGGAGGAAGAAGAAGGTATCCTGTTTTTTATGTTTTGGGTCAAATCTTATTCCCAGCACATTCGGAGAAAGAGGACAAGTAGCAGAGTCAAGATCAGAGTAAGGAGAGGGCTTATATGGAGCCACTGCAGCCCCAAGGGACGAGTGGCCACGGCCCAGTGCTTTTGATATGACCCGTGTGTGCCATGAGGCACGTTTTGGGGAGTGGTCCGATATGTTGGTGTTTCTGGAAGTCCCGCTGAGTGGTCACCCTCCCCCCTGCCTCTTCCTCAGCCCGCAGGCAGTTCTGGCAGAGGGTGCCTGAATTATGGCCTCTGTGAAGATGGTTCCCAGAAGATCTTTAGCTACTGCTCCAATCTGTATTGATTTAACCCTTGAACTATGGAGGTAGGACACCACTGCGAGGGTCTCACTGGACAAGGACAGAGTTTGAGGGCCGCCGAGTCTTTGATTGCTCCTTAGCTGAGCTGGCTTAAACTGCACAGACCTGTTGCTGGTGCTGCCGTTGCAAGGGTGGCCCTCCATGCTTAAAACATGGTTACTGAATCTCGATCCTTGTTTCCTAAAGCTTGCGAGCTCCAGAAAGCTGACACATACCTCTTGGCTGCTGACCTTGTTGGCAGGAGGTGAAAAGGACTAGTGTGTTCACTGAAGCCCGTCTGTTCAGAGCCAACCGGCAAGGCAGCTCACCCGGGATGGCAACATGGGCACAAGCTGTTTCAAAACCTGTGCTTCCTGACTGACGTCAGGAGCAGCTCTGCGGCTGGCCCGCAGGACGGGGAGAGGGGTCGGGGAGCTGTGGGGAGCACTGCTGAGCCAACTGAGTCTCTCTGTTCCTGACAGCATCCGCCTCCTCCTCTGAGTGACAAGAGACGTGCTTGAACTTGGTTGCAATCTGAGCACAAGGTCTGGTGCCATCCTCTGAGGTGTCCCAGCCACTCAGTGGAGGGGGTCTCCTCCTGGCTGTAAATCAGCCGTGAGTCTAGGTCAGTGCTAACGTGCCTCCTGCTGACTTTCCTGTGAGAAGGAGTGGTGGCACAGCTGCTATCAGGGAAGTGATTAGTGTCCTTGGAGGTTTCACGCTGCTATATAAAGCCCTTGGCTTTGAGCCCATGCTCCTGCCTATGTGCTTGGTGATGGTGCTGTAAACCTAGTTGTGCTGCGTTTGTCTTCCTAGAAGTACCTTCAGCTTTCCCTGGCTTGTCATGGATGAAGTCTCCAAGTGCTGCAGTTGCTTACATGGTCAGCAGCTAGCAGTCTTGCAAAGGCACTAAGATCGCTTGTCAGAGGAAAAATTATTAGGGAGGGAGGAATACCCCCGAAAAAGGAATATCTGTGTCCCTGCAGCATGTAATCAACAATGTGTTGTACTAGGCTTTGTGCTGGGCTTTAAAACTGTAAGAGAGGCTGTTTGGCTTGGGCCCTAGGATGAGAAAAGAGAGGGCAAGAAGATAAAAGGTGCTGTCGAAGCCATGTAAAGTAACATATGTATTGCGTGGCAGCCTCTGGCTAAACTGAGACAAGGAATCAAACAAAACCTGGAAGGAGATGTTTGAAATGGGTGCAGATTTACCTTGAGTCACCCAGGGACTGTATTGCAATATGTCAGGCCAAATGGGTGTTAAGGCTTGCATGTATGTATATGGTTGCCTGGTACCTGGGACGATCTCTCTTTTTGTGGCTTAAATGTTGTGTTTGTCCAAATCCTCCACCTTCTGTTGCACTCCTGAAGGAAGAGGGGCCAGTCTTTTCTCTTCAGTCATGAGATGGGTCCTTGGCTGGCAGCAGAAGTTTGTCCCACTAAATACCTGTGGTACCTGGCACTGTTTGGCCTGAGCTCTCTTGAGAGGGCTAACAGGAGAGGTGCTGGCTTAACTTTGGCACAGGACGTGTCTGTAAAGAGGATAGGTGTTTTTCCTTCAACAGTGCTCCTGTTCAGTGATTGCACAGAGTCTTCCTTCTGCCTTTAAAATATCTCCGGCTCCTCAACTGGCAGTAAAGCTTATCAGCTAAGCAGGAGAAGATGAGAACTTTTCCTGTAGAAAATATTATTTTCCTTATCTCTGCCTTCTGGGTGCATAAATAGCTGGTATGGTCAGGTTATTGATACGCAGCTTCTTCAAATCATATTACTAGCTGGGAATGAAAACACCATATATTGCTGTGGTAGAACCCGTAATGAGAGAGAATGTGCCTTGCTTGGTCTGAGCTGGAGGGATTTGGGGTTTTAAGTTTCACAGCTCTGAAGATGTGGAGGCTAATTAATGAAATCATGCATTCTTACATCTTTGTTTCTTAAATCAAAACTACCTCCTGGCAGAGCAGCAGTCAGCTTTGTATTTTAGAAATGGATGAAAACGGAGCTGAATGTATGCAATTGAGGGTCACAACTGTGGCTACTGGTTGGTGGGACCAGTACTTAACTGGCAGCCAAATCTAAATAAAGCTCCTGTTGAGTCCTGTTCAGCTCTTCTCCAAGTCAGAGATCCTCTGATATACTGTTGTTTGAGATCTAAGTGAGCAAAGCCTGTTATCCAGGAGCTGTAGAAAAGCAAGTAATAGCAGTCTTTAGGAGCTCTTTGCTAAATGCCTGCTGGAAAGAGGGAGGAAGAGATTACATATGAGATCTTCAAAAGTACTCAAGGAGACACAAAATTCCACTGCATTTATGTTCGAGAGTCATTTGATAACTCCTAAAATTCCATCCATGAAATTTTGCTTTATTTTGGTATTTGCAATCTCTCTGCCTTGTCTAGCCTGAGTGTGCAGTATTCATTAGTATATTGAACCTTTTCTTTTCCTCACTGGGAAACCACCAGGGATTGAAACACCACCCAATTTATGACTGAGGCTTCCCCTTGCAGTTCCTCTGTGGCAGCAGTCGGTATCATAAATGAAGACCTTTCTGCCTCTCCCAAGACTTGCACCAGCTAAGTAGGCACAAGAGAATGGTATCAATCTCCTGTCTGTTCCTCCTTTCCCTCCTTAACCTTTTTTTCATCTTTAATTTCCAAAGAAACTACTCTCCGTAGCTTCTGAACCTGAAAGCTGGTTCCATCTGCCTCTTCATCTGTGTCACAGCAGTAGATATCTCAAAATGCATTTCTGTAAATTTAGAAAAACTAAGTAGCAGGAAAGAGAGAAAAGGCCCATGATAATGCTCTCCTCCAAGGAAAACCTACTCGAGCTGGCAGCAGTCTGCAGGGCAGCAACTCCTCAGCACAAGCTGCCCTCGCCCACCCAGGTAGTGAAGGTGGGAGGACGCCTGGGGATGCCAGTGAAGGAAAGGAGAACTGGGGTCCTTGTGACAGAGAGGATGGGATGGTGCCAGACACCCTCCGAGGACGCTGGGCTTTCCTGATTAGTTCTGCTGCTCGTACAACAACTTGTCTGATCGGAGACCGGGAAAGCACATGAATGGGATAATACTAACAAGCAGCGTAGATATCGCTGTCAGCAAGATGTGGCTAGCAAACGGCCTGGGCTTTGGAAGCAGAGCCTAGAATAAGGTGACACAGGTATGTCTGAAAATTATCTGTGTTTGCCTAGGAATCTGCTTGCCTATACTCCCTCTCTGTGTACATAGGTGAAATGTCACCTCTGGAATCTGATACCGATGCATAAATTCCAGCTCCCTCCAAAGTGCCCCCCATTTCACATCAAAATCTGTTGCTCTGTTCTGCTGACTTACCTCCCAGGTCTTAGTTTTCAAGTAGGATGTTGAAAGACGTAATTTTCACTGCTACTTTTAATGCCATTCAGAAGAGACTGTCAGAGGAGAATCTGTATATATTAAAGACTGTTGCATTACAGTGCAGCATAAAACCTGTACAACATTATTTGCTGCTTTCTAAAAAGAAAACATAGATACTTACAGTTCATTCCTTCTTGCCAAGGTAATGTTTACTGATGCTAGATATTTCCTTGACCTGTCTGTACAATGCAACGAGGCAGAGCAAGAAAACAATATAGTGCTATATCCAGAGATAGCAGTAGCTCTTAGCTACTTCAGTCTTTAAAAATGCCCTCGTAACACATTCTCCAATCACACAGAATGCCTTTGCGCTTCCTAACCTTTGTTTTGTCCTTCTGCTCTTAGTTTTGCTCCTGCACGTTAGCATGGCTATATTTGGAGGCAAGACAAATTAATTTGTTGCAAACTTAATAAAAGTTTGATCTATGAAGACTGCACGGAGAGGGGCAAAAAGAACAGCTTGTGCCACTTTCCTGCAGAGGAATGCTGCATACATCACGGGAAACCATCAGTGTGGGTGGAATGCTTTAGCTTGTTTGTCGATGTGAAGTATTTTGAATAGTGTCATTGAGTATGGCAAAATCCTTATTTTCACAGGCCAGATAATCCCACGTTTTCTTAAACAATGCACTAATATGGTCCCTTTTTGGCAGACAAAGAGAATAATGGGGTGCTCATTCTTGTAGCCCTGCAACGGCAAACAACTCATGTATATAGGAGTGCAGTAGAGGCAAAATCGCAGATTGCAGAGGGTTCATAAGAATACTTAAAACTAGCTCTGAAAGTGGCCCAGCTACGCTACACAGAGTTTGTTGGGACCTGTAACCTTATGCATCTGCATCCGGGGACCACAAAGCTAAGGTGATCTGTGTGTTTTCAGGTTTGCTTGGAAAAAAAATGTTTTAATTAGTTCAAAGTAAGCCGCCTTGAATTACCTCACGTTTACCATGGGGAGAGGAAGGAAGGAGAGCCAGTATGTAGATAGTTACCATGGAGCAGGTGAGAGATATATACATAGGAGAGCTTGTTACCTTGTGCATGCTCTTACCTTGCAGTAAATGAGCTTGCTCCTGTTAGCAAATCTGAGTCATTTTAAATCCCTAAGAGATGAAAAAAGCTCATTGTGTATTTGAGTAAATAAAGCATGCAACGTTGCTTGCATGCAAATATCCTCTTCCCTTTCTGGCTTAATTTCACTTGTTGGTTAGTTCTACCACCAATACACATCCATTTCCAGAATTATTCCTTTGGCTACTGCTTCTGCTGTATGATCCAGCTCAGTATGAGGCAAAGAAGAAGGCTCAAGATGTTAGTACTCGACTATTTGGTGTTTCCTGGCAGTTTTTCCAAAAGGGTATGTTTGGGCAGGCCCACTTGCAGCACGTTTGGCATAGAATTGGTATACTGGGTGGCCGGAGTTTGGAAAACCTGGGGGAAGAACTGTGTATCTTATCCTATCCTGAATGTGCATGTTGTATAGATTAATTTTACAGGAATAATCGTGTGCTCATATATTAGATGGCCGTATTTACACACTGTCACTGTTGTAAATAGCTGGTGCGGTGATCTATGAATACAGCCCTCCATGGGGATGTCAGGCAAGGTTGAGTCCAGGTCAAGTCACTCTGGAAAGCAGGGGTATTGTGGGGTGAAACTCTGCTGTACTGCAAGTAATTCTTATCGTGGTGCTGTACTTACACCAGTTGAACTTTCCTGCTTGTTTTAAAACAGGCTTAGAAGAGGGTGCCACAATGGAAGATGTGTATTTGGCGTCGGTGGAGACGGATCGAGGCGTGAAGGAACAGTTACGGCTTTATGACACCAGGGGTCTGCAGGAGGGTGTAGAATTGCCAAAACACTATTTCTCTGTTGCTGATGGCTTCGTTCTTGTGTATGCCGTGACCAGCCTCGAAGCTTTCCAAAGAGTTGAACTGCTCAAAAAGGAGATTGATGTCTTTAGGGACAAAAAGGAGGTAAATGCACAGTGTCTTAACTGCTTGGGTTATCGGTATATCAGCGATACGAAGTTAATGTTGCAAAGTATAGATTTTGTTTCTGTAAAACTCGTAAACAAAGGAAAACATGTATACCCACAGCCTTGGGCAATCCAGCAAAAGGAAGCTTTCTCATGCTGGGGAAGCCTGATTCACATGCCATGCAGGTCATGCAAAAGAATGCGTTTTTTAGTCTCCTTACCTCCTCTACTACAGCTAAAATTCAGTTAGCTGAACACACCAGCCAGGAGACTTATGACTCATAAAACATATGGTCTACAGCAGTACAGTTCGTGTGTTTTTTTAGATATTGTACACGGGAAGTCAAGTGCATAGAAAAATATAACGAAGGGCATTATCTGTGTTTGTTTTGTATTCATGTACTTGATGGCCTACAAAGTGGTGTAATTGACAGTGGGTCTCCCAGACATTAGTCAATTGGCAAAGCGGCTTTAATGTATTTTAACAACCATATTGAATCAATTCAATTGTGTGAAATGACTGCTCTATTTTCCTTTAGAAAGCAGCTAGTGTTTTCAGCTGACAGTGTTCCAGCTTAGCTAAACAAATATAACTTGCATGTGGCATTAGCATTATGGCTTTTCTTACAGTATCTTTATATTCTCGAGTAGTTTTCCCTGTTAAATGTCCTTAGCCTACAGCTTTCCAAATGTCTGGTTTATGCTGTTAAAAAAAAATAAAATAAAAATGCATGAAGAATTAATTGGATAATGGTAGGGATAGACTTTCCAAAAATCTAACTTGTTTAGTACTGACAGCACATAGGGTGGTGGAGGAAGGCAGGCTCCAAGTTCGACAGCAGCTGAATGTGCATTCACGGGAGAGGCATGTTAGCTGGAAGGGCTGGTGTGAGCTGCAGACTGGCACGTATCTCAGGGATATGGGAGTCAAACATAACTCCCTTGCAAGTCAAGGAAAGGTGGATGAGCAGGAAATTTTTCCCTAGTACTGCGTTTTGTGAAGGCCCTGATTTGTTGTAGTGCAGAGAGGGAGTCACTGCCCCAACAGGAGCGGCGTCCCTCTCTCTGTTACCTGCCAGAACTCTTCTCTCTCATTGCATGCAGGTATTTTAGAGAACAGCCAGTTTGCTTACCCTCTGGGAGAGTTTAAAGTTGTGATCTTGACTGAGGATAATATAGTCAAAAAAGCAGCGCCCACAATAAGCTGGATAAATTCGTTTTATTCCTGTGATTTCTAGTCCATATAAAATATGCTTTGAGGCAGGTAGAAGGTGAGGTCAGGAGTCCTACCTTAAGATACTATAAGGAGGCTTGAAGTTTGGGCTCTGCTAGAACGCATCCTTAACTGAATTAGGGATGTACCGCCACACATGGTTCTTCTGAGCTGGCAGAACTTCACCTTGCTGAGCGGCACAGTCCCCTGTTGTGTAGCAGATGACAGAAAGCACTGATGGCTGGTTCCTTGCCTCTGCTGGCTGAGGGGGCTCTCCAGCATGCACCTTAAAGCCTGGCCAGATTTTGCACTAAGTAGAGCTTGTGTTCTCTCACACTGACAAAGCTTAACCACAGGTAAAATTCAGTAGAAGCATGTGGTAAATGCATGTGAAGATTATAGCATCTTTCAAAGCCTTCACAGAGGGGGGGAAAAATATTTTTTTCCAAACATCATGGATGGGCTGCTATAGAAAAGAAAGGAAGCCTCAGACCTCACAGGAACAGGACAGACATCTATCTCTAGCTGGAAAGGAGCAGAAGACATCCTGGTGTTAGCCTGATGAACAGGAAGGAGCAAGCAGGTGTGGCCACAGCAAAAACCCCAGATCATCAGCAAGAGAGGATCTTTGTCAAACCACTAGTGTAGAGATGAGACCCGAGTTTGACTGAGGGCCTTGAACTATAAATATAAACCTGGTTTCCCTTAAGAGCTGACGCTCTTAGAAAATAGTAAACTTAAAATAAGCGGGAACAGTAACTTTAAGTGGGCAGCACTACCTTCAGCACTTCCTAGAACTGCAGTACCAGGCAGGGCACTGAGCTCAGCCACACTGTACTGTCTTGGTGATACAGAAGTCACTTGATTGATCCTTACAACTAAAGATCTGACTTGATACAGCCGTGCTGCTCTGGTTAGCTAACCAGCTGCTCTTAAAACCGCTTCCGAAGATGGTGCTGGTGCTTGCCTGACCCTTTCAGCGACAGAAGACTGTCCACTTACCACTTAAGTCCTTCCAGTGGCTTAATATGCATGTGGGAACAGGCAGCCAGCTGGGCTGGGAGAGGGGCTTAACAGCTCAGCCTGCCCAGGCTGCTTGCACAGGCTGCCTTGTGGCAGCGTTGGCTTTAGTTACATTGTGGGCTGGGGGAAAAAACAAGCTGGGCAAAATCCACAGCTGTGGGGTCCAGGCTTTCTCTGCTGCATGCATTTTTTCATCTCTCAAGCATCCACTGCTCTGACCTGCTCAGATGTCATGTCACTTGCCTAGGGCAGCTCAATTGCCAAGTAAATGGAGAATAGGGCTGTTTAACTTTGGCTATTTTGGGCATTGTTTCCCTTTAAGAAATCGAGGGGAGAAAGGGAAGTCCTGCATATCCTAGGATTAAAACTAGCTTCCAGCCCACAAATAGATGAGGCTAATTCAGATCCCAGACTCTGATCCTCCAAACTACACACAGCTTACCTTGTGCCGCTGCGAAGTTAAAGAACAGGTCTGAACTGCGTTGCTACTTGCCTGCTGTTTAAAAGCACTGTGAGTGGTGGATGCTTTTTGTATAAAGTTCACCCTTTTGTTTTATTTGTAGGTAACAGTTATTGTCTTGGGAAACAAAACTGACCTCCTGGACCAAAGGCAAGTGGAAACAGAAGCAGCACAGCAATGGGCAAGGGCCGAGAAAGTGAGACTGTGGGAAGTGACTGTGACAGATCGGAAAACACTACTTGAACCCTTCACCTTCTTAGCTAGCAAACTCTCCCAGTCCCAGAACAAGTCAACATTTCCCTTGCCTGGAAGGAAGAGCAAAGGGAATAACTGTGATAACTAAGCTACCTTAGCATTGTCTGCTGCTGCCAGGTCACAGCCTAAGTCCTTTCTGTGCCATTTGCTTCTCACAGTTTCACTTAAAGCAATAATCTCATTCAGCAATAAAATCAACAAGCTTATGGCTAAGAGGTATCCTTCCTTCCCACAGACTTGGCTTGAAAAAGTCACTGGTGGCAAAAGCCTTAACAAGCACTTCATGAGAAGAGTAATCTTGCAACAAGGCTTATGGAGGAGGGAGGGACAGCTGGATGCCTCTCTAGCAAAGGCTCTGACTATGCCTGTATACAGCCATGTTGAGGGACAAATCAACAAGCTTATCATGAAGCAATCCCCCTGCAGATTTATAGCCTCTAGTCACAAGTAGTACTAGCTTCAATAAAGCATTCAATTTGGAGAGAGGATATGTTTGAAACGGCAACAGTCCTTTTACCTTGACCTTAAACAGGGCCACAGGGCTTTTTTGATGCTTCAGGAGGCTGAGGTCAGTGTGTTGTTGCAGGAGTAGAGTTTGGGGCAGGAGGAACGACTACCAGCAGATTTAGCCACTGAAGTTCTGCTAGTGTCTGGAAGGAAAAAAAACCCAAAACACCCAAATCTTGTGGGAGATACTAGAACAGGTCTACCCCAACATGAAGCTTGTCAGCAAAATCTGGCAAGTAGTGCTTTCAGCTCAGGAATTTATTTGTACAAACCAAGAAAGCTCTCAGAGCACTCATTAATTTAACTGCGACCTGAAGGACAACATAGCTCTATGTGGTTTTGTTCCAGCATATCCAGTACAAATCAGTCACGCTCACACACGTGATAATTTTACTGAGAAATTACACAGAGCAATTTTGTATGCAGGAGGTACTGCCCAGGCTCTGCTTAATGCATTGCGTAACACTCCTACCCAGCAGATCAGCCAAGCTGTAGCCATCCACCCTCTGTACAAAGCTACGGGCCAGATAACAACCAGCACAAAGTGCTGTACTGCTTTGTGAGAGGGGGCTAGGGAGTGTAGGAGGCTGCCTTTTGGGAATGTCCCCATGGCAAATGCCCAGAAGTACCTGGACAATGGCCTTGGTCTTAATACGCCACACATTTGTCCAGCAGCAGGAGTACTGTACATGTTGTACACAACGACTGTACATGTTGTGTTTAACTCTCCACGCTGGTAAACCTGTGCTGCAGGAATCTGCTGTCCCAGGTCAGCCTTCAGTAAACTAAACAAAATTGGATATAGAAGCACAGCATGAGCAACTGTTACCAGAGAGAGTGGCCAGCTTTTGGCCTCTAACAACCTCTTATACTACTCAATACTAGCTTTTCTTTATATTTGAAGACACAAATGGGGAGAGGGAGTGAACTGAAGTACCCAGTTTCCTCATTTTCCACTAAATTAATGTTTTGAACAAATATTGAGAATTTCACTGTGAGTCAGCAAAACCATGAGCAGTATTTGCACTGTCATACCATAACTGCTAAATAGTAAGTGTGCTTAATGATCACAATTAAGCTGTGTGCTTATAGCATTGCTCTTCTTGAATACTGACAAATAAAGTCCGTCTGCATTACTAATGTCAGAGCAGCAGTACAATTCACTAAAAATCAAGCAGGTATTCCTACCTTTATAATGAAGGTAGACGAAACTGTTTATGCGCTTTGCTCAATATAGTTGGGATTGCTGTGGCCAAGGAGTAAGATAAGAGAGCAATTATGAATGAGCAAGCTCTTGTAAAGCCCTGCTAGAAACATACAATTGTTTCCATTGCAACACTGCAGCTGAGTAAGCACTACAGCACGACCTCCCCCAACCTGGCTGGTAATAGTCATTGTCCCCAGCGACGCTGCAGGACAACACTCCCTCCTCACTCATTTCCTACCAAACACACGTGTACTCAAAGCTTCTCCCTACCCAGAAGACTTCGCATCTGCCTGCGTGCTTGGGAAGTGGGGGTGACCTCAGAGCAGCAGCGGTTCACCTCCTTGCTGCAACCTCTCACCAAGGAATTGGTTACATTCCTCCTCTTCAGCTCTGCAGAACCCTTCTTCTAGAAGGGACATGATTCAGCTTTGGATCAATCAAAATAAGCAAAGATCTCTGCTAACCGCACATCGTCACTGAAGCTGACCCTTAAGCCAAGGGAACGCAGGTTGACAAGTCAGAATTAACTTAAAACGTGTGGAGGTGGAAGGAATGGAGATTACTGGTTCCTGTCCGGTTCTGCACCCTGCAGACTCAGTGCCATTCCCTGCCAAGACTGATGTCACCTGTAGGCTGCCAGAGCCGTAGTGTGCGAGATCAGCTTGCTCACCACTCCCTGGGACACTCAGGACTTGACAATGTTTTAAGAAAGGCAAGAGGAAAAGGGATCTTCTGAATGACTGAGGCCATTTTCCCAAACAGGTTACATACATAAAGGCAAACATGTTGTCTTTGATTTGGTTAAGTTCATTAGAAACAAGTTTATGTTATTTTGGGTATTTGCATAAACCACACCCACCCCCCTCTGTCTTCTTTCATAAGCTTATTCTGATGCTTTTTAAGCACTCAAATGAATTGTCTTTTCTAAATGCCATAGTATTTTATTGACAAATGATGGAAAATGTCGTGTCTCTTCTGCAAACAATCTACACACAGTGGCTGATACTGAGTAAAAATGAAACTCACTGTAGTACAGTTTTACATAGGGTTAATGAGCAAAGTACAGAGTATAATGTAGTAGCTAAAGGGCAAAACATGTGTTTTGTTCTTACTGTTCCACTGACTCAAAACCTGTCCTAGGTCACTGGGATCACTTACTTACTACAAAGCTAGACAGTCCCTTCGTAAGATAATGGAGAAAAATTATTACAAAAAAAGAAAAATAAATTAGTAAATTAAACCATCTTTCTCTGTTCCTCTTGAACTTCTGTCCTGCTGAATAAACACTGTGCAAATCAGTCACCCCAAATCAGCTCCCTCTCCCCCACCAGCTACAACAGTTAAATTCGCATGTTCTGGTAGCACGAAGCAAGGAGCTGACAAAAACCTACTGAGATTAAACCATTTACCTCCTCACTCAGTAGAAGGAGAGGAGGAAACGACTACTAGAGATGCTCTTGGTGTGATGTAACTATATACCAATAATTTTCCTGGGCTAAGCCAAACGGCTGAGGGAGCTCATACACCAAAACACACGTTCTGTCAAAAGAAGGCAGTTCAGCAAATGAGGCTAATGTTCTGCTACCCACAACCACCCAGCAAAGGATTGCTTTAAGGAATTAACAGATTACTTTGGACCAAGTTCAATTTGATCTGTATAGGGATAGGAAGAGAAGCACATAAATAAAATATAAGGAATTGATTCTAAAGCACCAAAACAAACCCAAGAGCACAGACGACCACATAGCACTCAGAAGAATGTCGCAAGGTGAAGTACTTGCTGTGTGAAAACGAATCTGTACTTCCGGCCTGTACCTTAAGGGAGTGGTCAGAAATGCCATATCCACAACTAACTGCCCTGTTGCTACACACCTCAATGTAAACACCATGTCTCTAGGAGATAATCTTTGTAGGTAGTTAAAGGATCTACAGATTAAGTCTCCTTTACTCTCCTTTAAGGTGTCTTCTGCTAGCTTACCAGGACATGATGCCTTCTCCTCTTCCAGGTGGGAATAGACCACTCCGTCAGAAAACCACGAAGATATTCTCATCTTCCTTTTACCTCTGCCTGTTTCCCTTCCAGATCTCTTACGCTTTTCCAGTCGTACTTTGAAATAACGTGCCACTCCTGAAAAGCCAATGCTGTGAAAACTTCAGCTTAAAAGTAACTAGCATGGACTCTGTGGCAAGTTACCTCCCCATGGGCCATGCCAGCCTGTGCAACACTTACACAGTGAAGAGCTGAAAAAGTCTTACGTTGTCATTCATTGTACGCTTGCCTAGAAGTGTATTCCCAAAACAGCAGCAGTCAGTGCACTCACCTTCAGACCGCCGTTGTCCTTATCCACACTGTAATCCTCAAAGCGTACTGGGAGACACTGTTCCAGCAAGATGACAAAGCAAGGCACTAAGCAGAAATCTTTTCTTCTTCTTTTTTTTAAACATCTTTTTATTAGCACAGTAACAAATGCAGACTTAAGTAGCCCACAACATACAACCAATCCACTGAGTGACTCCTATTCCACGCCTTACAGTTAAACAGCTTAAGGTATTTCACTACAGGTTACCGTAAGTCCTGATTAAACCCTTTATTCTTTTCACAAAGATAGATTGGCTTATAAAATAATACATTAACTACTTCTCATTTCATATATGAGGCCATATATCCACCTCTTTGTATCACAGATCATGAGATGACAGTCTTTAAAAAGGATTTGTTAAATACCAATGTGCCTTCCATAGGGGAAAACAATCTCGACATCTTTTTACAAAAAAAACCCCCCAAAAAACCCAAACCCAACCCAGAACAAAATAAACCCCCCAAAACTAAAACAAAACAAAAAGCAAAAAACAGTGTGTAGAGTCTTGAAAGGACTTTTACATAAATGTACCTGTACAAAATTAAGCTGGTTTAATCTTTTACATAATGCAAGCAAACTGAAAACCAAAGAAGTCTTAAGAAGTTTACATTCTTCTCGGTACTATATGTGAGCTAATATTGCTGAACTAATTACAGTCTTAAAATATGCTATTCCAAATCCTAGCTGTCTACTGTAGCAAGATACCTTAAGTTACAACAACAAAATTTTAGGAAATAAAAGACTGAATAAAATCTGTTATAGAAATACCCTACTCTTTACCAGCACCCTCCCTCCCCCACCCCTTCAAAATCATAAGCAGCTCTTTCCATCACAGACAAATAATGTAAGAGTTTGACAAAAATCCAACTTATGTAGCATATCTTTTGGTCCATTGTCTGGCCATTCTGTCATGCTCTGCTCTGTTAGTCATGTACTGAGTGGCAATACTTCCAACCAGGGGGTCAGCTGAAAAGAAAACAAACCACTTAGTTCAGACAAGTTACTGAATAAAAGCTTAAAAATAAAGCTGAAGTGTGAATTTAATACAAGGGAATCACACAGGTGAGGTACACTGCAACAATCTAAACATACTGAATTAATGATCTGTATCTTCAGTGATTTCTGTGTATTTATGATGGTGACGTACTAATCTATTACTTAATAAAGAGCAAAATGCCAATTAAAGTTTTAAGGAGTTTAAAAGACAACAAGCCAGTTGTCATATTTTGCATTACTGAGAACTTTCACTGATTCATGCATTTCAGGTTTATTTCACCCATTCTAGAAGTGCCTGGTACATACTTATTGCTAAGTGTACTTGTATCAATATAAATCTGCCTTCTAGGAAAGATCACATCTCAAGGAGAGGTTTTATTTTTCCAACAAGTTTTTTTTTTTTATTATACATAATATAGTGTGAAATCTGGTGTTTCTCTCATCTTTAGATGCATATAGAAATACAACCTGTAAAATTGGCTTTGTAAACCAAGACATATTCATCTTAACTGGCATGGATAACGGGTGGGTTAGAGAAGCAGTGAGGACTACTTGTGGCATAGTGGGTCACTGGTGTTAAATGGATGATGGAAAGTAAAAGGCTAATCCCCTTGTTTTGAGAATTGCGTTCACGGCTCTTCTAGCTCCGTTACTGAATTACTACAGTCCTACAGACCAGCGAAGAGTGTTTAACCCTTACCCAAAACCAGAGTTGGTTTGGAAGGGGAAGGAGTTTTCATGTGCAGGAGGAGAACGGCCGCTTTCCTCGAGGGTCAGCCTGAGGAGTGGTGAACAGCAGGCAGGTAGGGTGTATCACCTCCACCACCTCTCCGGCTGCTCTGGAGAGGGAAACGTGCTGCGCTGGAGGCTGGCACCGCGCTGGCCGAGGCCAGCAGGATGAGATGAGGGCCACGTTATTTGGGTGCCGGGTGGGGTGCAAGGCGGCAGGCGGCCTGCGGGGCTGCGCAGGGCACTTACCGGGGTTGCAGTCTGTGAGGAGGGAGCAGATGGAGAGGAGAACTTTAGAAATGGTTAATGCTGGGCTCCAGTTGTCTTTTAAAATGTCCAGGCAGATGACGCCTTGGCTGTTGATATTACAGTGGTAGATTCTTGTCCGAAACGTTACCTGCAAGAAACAGACTTGAGCTGGGGCACCACACGCAACCTGGTAAGGCGACGGGCGGTAGAAACGAAGGGAGAGGAGGGGAGAGGGAGAGGGA